AGCAGCAGCAGCAGCAGCAGCAGGAGTAGCAGGAGTAGCAGTAGTAGTAGTAGTAGTAGTAGTAGTAGTAGTAGTAGTAGTAGTAGTATTATATAGTGGTAGTGGTGAGCTAACCTTGGCAAGGGTAGGCGGACACTTCCACCAAGTGACACAAAAACCTCCCAACTCTGTCCCTTGTGGCCTTCAGGTGGGGCAGCGCAGTCGGAACCTCAGACGGTCAAGGATCTCAAAGACTTTTTAACAAGCTGCTTTCTACCCAAACATCGAGCCAACCGTTGTAATACACACTCCAAAGGAGATTGGTTGATATAAAGATCAGGTATCTGAGTATTTGGGATATACTGGGCCCCACAAGGTGATCTGCCGGAGGGATCTTCTCTCGTTGACTTGCCCACCCAGTGGCTGGTGGTCGTGTCGCCGTGTCCGGTCAGCATGGGTTGCGCTTGGAAAAAGGCCCTGGTGAGCTTTGGCTATTGCTTCTTGGTCTTCGTGGGCGTACGATACATGGAGCGGCGGAGCTCCGTGCGCTCAGCTTCCTGGCTGCGGTTGCTCCGTTTCAAATTTTGGTGGGTCTCTACGGGGTGGTGGGTTGACAGATACCTTTTTGAGCTTCAAACAATTGGTGACCAGTAGTCCCTTTTTCTGGTTGGTACCATCACAGAAATAGTCTTGGGAGCTCTTGCATCCCAGATCCACCTGTTGTTGCAGCGGAGGGCAGCTTTTGAAAAACATACTGTGGCTTAGACCAGAGCTCTGAGAGACGAGGGAAAGAAAGCACTGAATGGAAGAGACCTTGTATATGCTTCCTACCCCCAAGCTGGAATGGTTCAACAAGGCAATGTCAATTTGTTGCAATCTAGTCGCGCTTCCTTTAGTTAAGCCCCGTATTGACCACCCGCACGAACTTCAACGGTTAGGCCGCCCTTTGGTTCAGCAAATCTCAGGTGTAGAAGGCCGCTAGAACGACCAGGGAATTGGTTGTTCACTTTTTCCGCCTTGATCTCAGGTCATCATTTTCGAAATCATGGCCGTTTATAACTCGACGCAAGTCTTACTGAACCTGTACGAAGTCTGTGCGATCCTCTATGACATGATTTCCTCTGACTTCCGTTTGGACTCGCTGCTGGGGACCCCAACGAAGTGTGTTCCCGACAGGGCACGCTTCAAGCATGCGGAGAAGGTGGAACCCTTTGTTACTAGTAGCTTCTTGCTACTAGTAGCGATGGCCTGCAACCTAATAGCGATGGCCTCCACCGAGTAGCTTCTAGCTACTAGGCATGCGTGAGGACCCTCAAATTTGGGGAAGCCACCTCCTGTTGTTCCTCCTTTCACCGAGATTTGTTGCATTCCGAAAAGGACAAGTCGGATTGACTTGGCATGGCTTTCCACTGCTTCCAAGGCCTAAGAATGTGGCAGAGCCTTTGATTTGGCTGCAGTACCACTGCCGACAGATGGAGCTTCTGGATACGTTTCCTGGCTGCCTTGACCCTTTGAGGGAGCGGGAAGTAGGCTAAACTTTGGTGAGTCAGTCGGGACAAGAACATATGAATGGTATATGATGATTTTGACATGGCCGAAGTCAATAGCGTGCTGAAATTCCTCCAAGAATGGCTGATTGTTCTCCAGCAGTCACTTTCCAGGGGCAAGGATTTTGCAGATTTCTTGAGGTTCTTCTTGGTCCTGCGCAAGAAGTTCGACGACATCTCCCTTTTTCACATGTACTATCGGGTCCTGAACATGCACCTTGCCTCAGAGAAGATCCGATGGGTACCGCCAAATGGCAGCGAAAGTTCGGAGCATTTGTATGGCCCCTTTCACCAGGAGCCCTTAGTAGCGTGCTTGCTCCTAGTAGCGATGCCAGGAGCCCCTAGTAGCTTTTTGTTCCTAGTAGTAAGGCCAGGAGCCCCTAGTAGCGTTTCCTTTCACCTGCATGAAAGACTAGTCAATGTGCAATGATTGTTGGTCATCTCCAGTCGCGATTGCAGGTGCCAAGCCTCACACTTCCAGTCAGTCCAAGGTAAAGCTCACTGCCCTGCCACACCTCTATGATCAACGCCTCGTCGCACTGCCTCGTGTGAAACCGTGGTTTCCGTCTCCATGTGTCTCGTGAGGTGGGGTTGGTTCTTTGGATTTCACTACGCCTGCGTGGGGCCCACACTGGTGCCTGCCTTGGTGACCTCCGTCGCCCAGACCCTCCAGCTCCTCGGAGACAATCTGCTCTGAGTGAGGAACCTTGTTTGGAAGCTGCAGTGATTTTATGTGATTTTGTGAGTCTAGTTGTTTGGTTGGGGTTGCATGATTTGTGAGGCTTTGTCAGGTCATGAAAGGACGGGTTTTGTGGCGGGTGGTGTATCAGTGTATCTTTGACCACATTGAGTCACTCAATGTATACAAGTTGTTCTTTTTGGAGGTACGGGCTTGGTGTGAATCCAAACCTGCGGGAAGCACAACGTGTCGCGTGTTTCCTTTTGTCACCTGGATGTTCCCTACATGAAGGGGTGATCTGCAGTTTGAAATTCACCTCACACATCCTCACACCACAGTCGTCGCAGGGGATGACTGTCCTGACACGGTCTTCGGTTTCAACGGTTTCAACGGTTTCAACCCGACACGGATTCTTCAGGTACTTATCCTTCACCATGGCGATCTTTGGCGTTCGGAAGCTGCCCTTGTTCTGCAAGGCCCCCTTCGAGTCTTTTCGCTTTCATTGAAGGGGAGGGCCTGGGCGACGTGGCATTTCGAGTCGAACCGCCAGGCGATGATTTTGATGAGATGTTTTTTGACAAAGATCCATATGACACAGGGATTTTAGGTCTCGAATGGTCTGAGTGCCTGCAGAGCCTTCATGAACTTTGCAGTTGAATGGACACAATGACTGCGCAGGCACCCATCGCGGAGCTTCAAACTGCCTGCGCTGGGCTGTGCATGTTGTCCAACTTGCGGCCCGGCGGTTTCGTGCGTGTGGACTGTCGCGCGGAGAAATGGGCAGACTTGTTCCGGTTTGGACAGATTCTGGCCTTTGCGTTCAGTGCAAAGCAGGGGTTGTACTGTATGTCTCTCTGAAGAGCTGAAGTTCTTTTGGATGGGACAGAGCTTAGCCGGTCAAAGGCTTGGTACCAGTACCGCGGACTGCTTTATCAAGAAGTCCTGATACCCGAGTTTGATCTCGGATTGCCAACAATGTTTCCTTTTGTGAAGATTGTACCTCTGAGACACACACACGCAATTCCTTATGTCGGTAGTCGGGAGATCAGGAAGATACTCTCAATTGTTTATATATATATATACTGTATATATAGTTTCCCTAAAAATCTAGGAAGCAAAGGCATAATAAGCTCCTCCCCGCCCTCAGGCTGGCAAAGCTTCCTTGAAGAAGCCTCTGAGCTTTCTTGCGTTGCAGCTTCCCAGGTCCAGGTTTACTTGCTCCTCAGTCCCGGCCTATCCCCCCCCGCCCAACAGAGACTTAACACACGAAGACATGACATAGCATCCTGTCCATGTCTTTTCCTTCAGATTCAGTGCCTTGGCCCAATCTTTTGGAATCAAGATTCCGAGAAAGTGGGCCTTCGCAAGGTTCATGGCCGTCAGTGGTCGCCTCCCCATCGGCCTGGCCATGCTGCACGCTTTTGTCTCCTGGCTGCGGGTGGGATTCGTTGAAACTCCGGGCGGGTGGGCCGTGAAACATGAGCTGAATATCGGATAGTGAAAGTGGCGCTCCCGAAGCCCAAGCAGGAATTGAAGAATAGATGGATCAATTTAGATTACTTTGCAGCTTAATTACATTGCTTGAGCCTTGTCAACCCGCTTCAACACGGTGTTCAGCATTGAAAGATTGTATCTTCAACTCTTGCTCTTGAAGGCCTCCTGATCACATCTCACGCCATTGCACACCCAAATAGACAGCGAAGGAGAATCCTCATGAGACATTTGATACTCTTTGGCAAGCACACGCTGACACCGAAGAACGACAAAGAGCCAAAAAGCACATGTACAATCTTGCATGAAACTACTTTCTTTCTTGGAGATGTTGGATTCAAAT